GATACTCCAGTTTCTACCATACTCGTGATAGAATATCCTTTGTTAATGATTCGAACATTTCATTTATCCTCTGCTTTAGTTGCTGTAAGTCCTGAGGAAATGGAGGTATGATCACTTTCTGAACACACACTTTTCTATAACAAAACCCCCATAGGAAAAAAAAAAAAAAAAATGGGGGGGGTTAGATCTGTGGATCTCTATGGCCAACAAAGCAATAACATTATCGTTTGATGCAGCGTTATCCCCGCTGGGGCAGACTATCGTTCAGGTACTGCTGTACTTTTTTATACCACTGTAGTACAGCGCAATCTTGCTATAGAATGAAGCCGGGAACCGTTTCTCCCAACTGAGGGAACAACCACTCTAATATCTTGATAAATACACCTGTTCATCGATTTTCCACGAAGGAAAAAGAAACAAACTACAATTGTTGGCAATGGCACAAAAAACATTAATCATTGGAGAATCACGCTTATGTTCTACAGTATTTGGAATTTCAGTGTCCCAGAATTGTAAATTATGGCGATTAACTTTGCTAGAAACAAGAAAAGCAGTGTCATCCGTAAACACGTCTGTTTGCAAAACCAGCTTATCTTGCAAATTTTCATAGAAAGCTCTATAGAACGGTTTGTAGCAAGGTTTAATCTGAAAGCTATATGGCTGGAATAGTAGATGTTTTCGTAACACCCGCTGCCTCATTACAGGAAGCACAACAAGGTCAGAATTTGCAAGCGTTGATTTTGTGGCATCTGTAAAAACGTTTCTAGAATTTTTTCAACCACTTCGGTTTAGGCTGTTTTCTTACAAAAGTAGCCCGTGGCCTGAAAATGCTTCATACATTTGACTTTATAGTTCTTTAACAAATTTAAAGAGAAAATGTCTTTGAACAATGATAAGGATGATGCTTTCTACTGCATATATGACGCTATTTTGATTAACAATGCCTCTACTGGCGATTATGTAATAGTAAGTTTTTTCGCTGTTGCCAGATAAAACTTGTGTAATTGTATACAAGTTTGTAATATCTTGTAATGTCAGAATTAATATTTTCAATTTAATAAGTAAGTACAGAATTTGAGCTATGCAAGTCTTTCAGTCCCATTCAATATGGAACCCCCTGCATATGTTTCACACTGTAAATTTAAATTTCATTTATACATTGTTTGTGAATGGTTTCTCGAAAGACATATAAATGGTGCTCCATTGTATATAATGCATAGTTGTTTAAAACTCACATAAATGTTAATATTTTGTATATTATTCAAATTAACTTCCATGTTTAAGCAAATGAATGCTGAAAAATTCTGATCTTTACCACAAACATTACTTATTATCATACTGTAAATTATTTTACGTTAGACAATAATGATCACCGATATTTATCCTTTTACAGGGAATTAAAGGATAAGGATACATTAATGCCAGCTGTTATCAAATTATCATGCAGAAAAAGGGAGATAAATATTCACGACTACAATGAGATGTAAACCCATTAGATCTTGTCAGCACACATTGATGGTTGACATCAGATCTCTCCAATCAAACAATGATGTCTTTTGAACTGGTTCAAAAGCTTATAACTACAGCATGCACAGTCAAGATCCGTATGAGTGTTCCACAAAATTACTTCTTACATGCATTTAACTTAAATTATTTTTAAGCATTTATATTGCATTTTATGTTTATTTTTTATTCTCTTCAGATAGTTCTCCATCAGCAACGATACACTTTTACCAACGTTTCGATTACTGCTAGAAACAAGGGAAACAGTTCTGGAACTCTTGGCACAGAATAGTGCTCGAACTAGCATCCAATTTTTTCGAACCTTATCCACACTATTTACTTTCTTTTAATTTCTGAACTGCTTTTTCGTTCTGCATGGAAATATAGAAAATTTGCACTGGCATGAAGATTTGGTGTATAATATCAAGTACCATGTTATTCTTCACTAATAACGGTTAGTCAAAGAGAATTTCTTCTGAAATCTGGTCGATGGTCTTTTGACAAACTTCAACAAAAATCTCTCACACTTTCCCAATGCATACCTCATTTTTGCTTTTCAGTGGATATTCAAACGTTACAGTCTTCATCTGACATTGTTGTGGTCTGCTAGGCTCCATTCAGATGGCAGGCTGAATGTCATAAGTGGTTTAGCCAAGCTTCATTGCTAGACAACTAGACCTTGGCACGACACAAAAACTGGTGTAAGAACTTTGGCTTAAATGTTCTAATCTTTCAACTTGATGCTAACTTGGTTATAAGGCTGTGTTCTGCAATAAATTTCTATTGGTTATATTTTATTATCAAATGTACTAATAGCAAAACGCTAAATTTTTAGACCAAAATATTTCAAATAATTCTAACGTTGTGTTGAATTAACCACTAAACAACTTATTTAAAGCAAAAAAAAAAAAAAAAATACATTGGTCATCAAAATTAAGGAATGAGAAAAAATATGCTCTACTAAGTTAATGTTGTAATTGCAATGCGAAATGCTGTAATTATTTAGGTTAATTAAATACAACTGATGATAAAATCGCACTTCCATGCATATGTTAGCACTGGAAATATGCAAATTCGGTGATTGACAATGTGGTGCACAATGGACACACGTTGGAATTCTGGTCTTTAGTGTTGTTTAAAGTGAATTTGGTTTCTGAGAGTAATCAGTATTCAGTAGTTATGGCTCAAAGGCATCATTTATGTGAAGGTCAAAAGCGGCGAATAATTGGTTGAATGGAGGGAGGTCAAACACAAACGGAGGTGCCCAATATTCAAATATCCCTCAAAGTGTTATATCAATATGGAGTCTCATTTTAAGCACTGGATTAGCTGACAGTCAGCCTGTTAAAGATAACTTGCATCAGAAGACCGCTTTCTGTTGTTATCGGCTCGAAGAAACCACATATTTTGGATTTAGACCTTCAGGTTACCACAGGAACTTGAATTAGCCATTCTACCGCTGCACGAAGGCTTAACAAGGTTGGACTGTATGAGAGAAAAATCAATAATTTGTGTTCCACTCACTTCAGCTTCCAAAGGTGCCCCTTTGAACAGGTGCTGTCGTCATGTTCAATGAAACCTACACGACCTGGCCTGAGTATTACTTATTGATGAGTCCGGATATATAGTCTGAACAGCAACTCTAGATGTACTTGATCTGGAAAGAGAAATGAACACACAACTTGCCTTCCCTTGTCAGTGAAAATAGCCCATTTCCAAGACTGCAATTTAGGAAGGAATCATGGCAAATGGCCACATCAAGCTGCATATCTTTCAAGGAAGTTCTGTGGCCACTCAGAGATATGTGGATGAGGTATTGGAATCCCATGGGCACCTTACTCAGCCGACTTGAACTTGATTGAGCATGTGCGAGATGCCTCAAGGTGCCGAATTTCAGCCCTTTCTAGACCCCCCAGAAGCTGAAAAAAGAACTTTTTTAAGAAGAGCTGCGAGCAATTCCACAAGATTTAATCAACAATTTCGTGATGTCTATGAAATCAAGATGTGAGATATGTATATCTGCTCAAGGTGACTACACACTGTATTAAAGAAAAAATAATTCTATCCTTTTCCAATTTCCATAAATTTGGCTTTAAAATTTAAGAATAAATAATGACAACATATTACCTTTCTTTTATTTAAAAAATTTTTCTTTGATATGCATAGAAAAATACATATACTTGTATGAAAATAATTATAGGCTTCTTTATCTCTTACTACAACTTTGAGCTACAATATCTAAAGTTCCAATTTTGATAAAGGTAGTAACCCTGGAGAAAAAGTATTAGAACCAATCTTTATCATAAATTATACTTTTTTTTTTTTTTGGCTTCAGACTTATTAATTTTCAACAGGAGAGGGGGGAGAGCTGTTCATTTATAAATGTATTTGTAAACAAAGCGATTATTCTTACTAGACAAATTCATAACTGAGGTATGTATTTTTAAAAGTACAAATAAATAGTAAATCAAATTTGTATCTTCAAGTCTCTGGATAATTAATTAGGTCCATTTGTAGATTTTCTGAAGCGTTACTCACAGTCATTTTAATGGTAATGAAAATAATGTAAAACTGGACTCAAAATCATAAACCTTTAAGCTTTTTGCCCTAATATATGAAGTGATAATAATTTAAAATTAATGTACAGGAAATGTATTTGTAATCTACATTAAATTACTTTAAGGGCCACATATGGCCCATTACACTATAATACCATGTTCTTACAGTTTCTAACCCAGCTAATAAATGAATTTTCTCTTTTTGCAAGTTGCTTTTCCAGTTTCGCAACCATAATTTTTATTATGATTTCAGATGGCTCAGGTAAGCCAAATACTACATTAATCAAAGTTAAATATGTAAACCAACCACATTTTCAAAACAAAGCTTGACTTTTGAGCGGGCTAAAGCACCGGATCAGGGTTAACTATATCAAGAAGATTTTAACCCTCTGAGCGGAAAGGGTTTTCAATAAGAAAGCACAATTTTCCCAAAACTACTATGAGAACAATTTTTTTTTTTTAAAATTTTAATATAAAAACTCTCCTGGTTTTTCATACCTGGATTTGTTTTCTTTTGATATATTGCCTTAATTTATTTGACATATTTTAATATCATATATATATATACATTCTTACATAAAATATTCTAGATATTCTTGCCGCTTAGAGGGTTAAGAGCCAATAGGTGTGAAATAAGTCTATATATCTTTGTTCCACATTCTTAAAAATCAGCAGCTATTAATCTTAAACCTTACTTTATTTTCAGCTTGATTTTTAACTTAAGTTTGCCCTAACATAAAGCTTCATACCTATATAGATAAAATTTTCATGCTTTTCACAGAGAAACTAAATGTCAGTTAATATAAAATCTCAAACAATAAAATTTTATTGCAAACTACTTTTTTTAACTTGAAAAGCTGGAGCACACCATATACTATATATGCATCTACCACAATGAATCGAAAGTGAAGTGTATAAGACTGACATATCAAAATAAAATTTCACTTAAACTACATCTTTTTATTTTCTATAAAGAATGCATTTATTAACAATTAGCTCAACATGATGCAGATTTTACACAATGACAATTATTCAACAAACAGTAAAGTATATTAAGCTTTATTCAAATAATTGCAAAGAAATGGTTTAATAAATCATATTTGGAAAATAGGCTGAAAAACATTAAAATGTGTCACTTTCAATAAAAACGTTAAATGGAGTGAAGTGAAAGTCTAAATGAATCATGGGCTACAAAGAAGCTACTGGTTTCAGGCTGTGGCTTCAAGATAAATACCTGGTTAAAACCGTGAGGAGGATCATCATCAGTCTGTAAAAGAAAAGAACTCAAAATAAGTCATAGAAATGGCAAGGTGGGGGAAAACTGTGTTAAATGAACATCATAATACACATAGACACATAATTATACTTTCATTCTTATGTGTAGTTTCTCAGATGGTAAGCTATCGATTTCTTTGTCAAGAAGTTAGCATTTCTTCAAAAACAGTTTGTCAATCACAAAAAGATACTGTTTTGATTTTACAGTAATGCCTAAAATTTGATTGACTCTTCACTGGCAGTGCTATAATCCATGAGATACATTCTATCTCCTGCCAACCTGTATGTAAAAAAGTAAGGGAAGTAATGTGTTCAGTCCAAAAATCTGCTGGTGAGTTTTTAGTGAATAAGCATGAATTAGAGTTCCCACAATAACACATTTTTACAATGTCTGCGTGCATGATGATTTGCCTACAACAACTTTTACACAAAACCTCATTTTCAGTTTTGGTACTTCAGACGTTATATGAATGAGAATAATATATTAGATTTTGGCTTAAACTAATAAAGCAGAAGTGATATTTAATTGGAGCTCTGGACAGATTTTCATGAGGATAAAAAGAGCTAATCTAAAACTTATCAGCTTTGATTACCACTTAACAGTTTCATTTTTCTGCCATATTGTGACCAAAAATAAGCATATTTTTTATAAACAATTCTGTATTCAATAAGTGTAATTCATTTTGTAATCAATTCTGTACTCTGAATTCAAATGAGCAGTCAAACTGTTTCAAGTATTGCATTTATGCAGCGAAAATTACATTTTTACTTAAAGTTGGCTTTTTCCTGATGAAGGTGCAAAACTGGAAAAAACCTTTACAGGAGATAAATATTAGGAAAACATATATTTTTTGGAAAAAACATATATCTATATACACATTATTAAATTGCTTTTGATAGCGGTCAAAATGGATATTTTCGTTGAAATATGGTACCTGGAATGTTTTGTGATTATTTACAATACCTCCTTTACTTCATACAAGGAAGTAAATAGAACCCAACAATGAACATCTAAAATCTATAATGAAGATAATTTCTAGTAATTTCTCTCAAAGACTATGAACTTTATCAGAACTGAAACCCCATCAAGTATCAAGCTATAGTTCTTACTACAGCTTGATAATATTTATAAAGAAGTTTATTAATGGGTCAAAGAAAAATTTAATATATAAGAAAAAGAGACTAGGTTGTCATTATTTATTCTCAAGTTTTATCCCACTTGAAACATTTTTTCTGAACACATAGGAAGTTTTTTTTATTTAAGTTTAAATTAAATTATTTAATGATAAATTATATGTGTTAGAATTATTTTAAATAAATGATAGTTTGATAATTTAATATTGAGCTACCAATATATTTGAATAATATAGTGTTAACCAACAAGAATGTCTTGCAGGTAGTAAACTTTTATTTTATGTACAAAATAAATAAAAGTTTGAATTTTTCTTTTGCAATATTATTATTATTTACAAATGCTTTGTTAAATATTTAGTAAATTAAAAATTTTAAATATTTACTTTGTTAAAAAGAATATTCATTTTATTTATTTAATATTTATTCTTAAGTTGTTTGTCTAGTGTTTTCAGCTTGTGCATTCAGCCCTCATTCAAATCAATGGATGACTCGAGTTATGAACACTCAAGTCAGCAACATGTAATTTTCATTGTTTTATAACTTATGCCACATAACACTCAAACATCACTTTACTATTTTCGATTGTATAACTGAAATTAACAAAGTCTGAAAATGACTTAAACGATGAATTTTTACCTGCAGGAAATAATGGCCAGATAGATTAAAAGGCAGACTGATCCCTCGAGCCCTTTGACACTTAGGATTTTTCTGTTATCCACAGTATTAAATGTTTTATTAAAAAGCAGTCTCCCCCCCCCAAATAAAAAAGAAAACAAAAAAGTTTCAGAAAAAATAAGTAACTACTGTGCTTTAAATAAAAAACCTTTACTACAGAATAAATAGACAATAATGTTATGAAAAACCAAACCAGTATGAGTAAAAAGTAGTAATAAAGAATAATATTACTACATTACACAGCAACAGTGTTATTTCAGAGTAAAAATTTTAAATAAGAAATATCACAAAGGTGCAAAGTCTTAAGTAGTATATTATTGAACATTAAAAAACTAATATCAGCATAATTAAATAACTAACACAGTCTCAAAACTATGATCATATGACTCTATCAGTTAATGAGCTAATAAAATTTAGCAATATTTTATTAAATTGGGCTGTAATTTGTTTACACAAAACTGAGTTTGTGACTTAAGACTTTCTTTTGAGCTGGTATACAACTACTAAAGAGATTTCATCAGTAGATCTAAAACTTGTGCCAAAGGCCATTCGAAAAATAAAAAGAAAGGGGTTAAAATCCAATAAACACCACAGCCTTAGGAGAAAAAATAAAAATTAACTTTTAAGTCATGCAGTTCGAATGTAGTGATGGAGAAACAAAATTAAGAAATCATTGCAAGTGCAAAATTAAGGCAGGGGACTGAACTCTTAACGTCCGGAGAAAAGCCTGCTCTGCTCTTTACCACTGGGCTACGATCGCTTGTACAGGACCTGTCAGAAAAGCTGTGTGCTTCGTCATGTGATTAACTCCCATTTTCGGCGAAGTGAACAAGTCTTTGCGCTGCTTTAAATCCAGCCTGTAATTTCTCGACTGGAGATTTTGTTTACTGAATTTTTTCAATAAGTGCGAACATAGTTTCAAGTAGTTTCTGAATATTTTCATCTAGTACCGACAAGGCATCATTAATAGTTTTTGGAACTTTTCTTGGCGGAGTTAAAATAATTTTCACCCCGAATAGAAAATACCTGAATATATAAAGTAATGAGGAAGACAAAGCTTACCAAAATAAGAGAATTCCTTGATCTTTTATTTTTTAAATTTACATTACTCGTGTCCCACAACACAAAATTTTCTATATAAAAACCTATTAGTTGAAAAATTTGAGTCTCACTCCATTGAAATACAGCCATGTTTATTATTTATTCCAAAATGAGGAGAAAAGCATGTGATCACTCAAAGCAATCTTATTGGCCAATTTTATCATATGCTAGTGAGCAGCAAACGCCAGTTCCGAAATCGTGGCAAAGAACATGACCGATTTTTGTCGCATGTGCAGATCCTCGAGAAATTCGGCCAAGAAAATCGCTTCGTGTAGACAGGCCTTTAGACATTGTCCCATCAGATTTTCATCTCTTCAAGTCGGTAACAGCCTGCCTGGAATTAATTTTTTTTAGAGGCTGTCAAACAGCACCTTAATAACTTCTTTACAAATAAGCTTTATGACTATTAAAAAAAAAAAAAAAAAAAAAAAAAAAAAAGGAGCTTTTCAAATGCCTGAGAGATGGCAGAAAGTCATAGAATAAAATGGTGCTTAAGGTATTCAAAAAAAGTTTTATGTTTTTGCACTGCTACATTTGTATTTATCATCAGGAAATTAGAAAACTTTCTGGACGATCCAAAAATAAGTGTTTACAATGACCAGAACATGTGTTACAAAAATTATACAAATTTATAAATGCATTCATAAATATGCTTTTATTTATTCTAAGATCTGTTGCCATTTCACATATACTATCTTGCTCTTTTAATCTCATTACAGGTCTACATATTCTAATAATAAAGTTACGAAAATGTTAATATATATATATATATATATATGTAGAAATATAGCTACTAAATGCTATGCAAGTACAACTCTTTATCCGATCTAAACAAGTTTGCAGGCCAGAGTTTATACTACAACAAAAAGAGAAGGAAAACAATCTTCAATGGCATTCAGAATATATAAAAAAATGCATCATTATGAGTCAAAAGGTATTGTTGTAGATCATTCTTTCAAAAAAGATGACTATTTATATTAATCAATAATTACTTGTGGTAAGTAGAACAATCTTTTTTTTTTTGGGGGGATGACATTATACAAAAAGCAAGTTTCCAGTGTATCTTCACGTTTTTTTAAAATTTTATAAACACATCCTGATTATTATTTCATAACATTTTATTTTACAATTTTATCATTTACAATGTGCAAACATGCTACATTAATTTATACATTAAGTTATAATTACATTACATTATAATTAATACATTAAGTCTTTGTTATTGAAATACCTGTTTGTTAATATGGCCTTTCATTTATATAGACAGAAACTGATGGCTTTCGCAATGTGCATGTAAAGAACGCCTACTGCCATTCTTTTGCGATTTTTAAAATCCAAGGAATATATATTAAAAAAAAAATAATAATAAAGTAGAAACATGACCTAATATTACGATGTATATATATAGATTATGTCAAATTTACGTACCTTTAATTGACCTAATACACATATTAAGATACCCCCATCAAACATTGGCTGAGCGTCTACAGCTGTAATGTTATGCGCAATCTTCTGGAATGTTAAACTCTAAAACAAAATATATAAATTTAATCAAACTTCCACATCAGGCTAAAATGGAGCTTTAGATCAGCATACATTTTGAATAAAACCATCAACTTTGAAGGCAGCTTAAGCCTTTATTACAAAATAAATAATGCACTCAAATTTTAAAGTTGAATTAGAACACAATTATAATTACAAATTTATATAACAATTCTGGAAAAAAGGATGGGAAAAATTTCTCTCTAGGAAATGAATTCAGATGCAGGGCTGTGGAGTCGAGCAGATTTTGGGGTAAAAAGAGTCAGAGCTCGAGTCACTAAAAACAGGTTGACTCAGGCTCCAGTTTTTGTTGGGCAGTTTGTATTTGAAATGAAATTAAAATAAATTTTAAAAAATTAATGACAAGCAGAGTTACTTTTATTTATGGATTATATACATTAATAAATATTTATTTTCTATTTTATTGACATATTAATAAATGTACGGGAGGAGGATGGATATGATATTTGCCATTAGTGATTAAACTGATTCATTTAGTTACAAATTTCACTGGTAAATTTAGGTAAGCAGCAAAATTTCCAAAATTGATGCCATTCTTTGGAAGCAAGTAGAATAAGGAGGAATACATATTTGATGATAAAGAGGTTGCTAGAATAAAGAATATTTTTAGAAGATGTAGATGACCCTAATGTTTCACTAGCAGAAAGACTGAGGAATGATCTTGCAGAATTGGAAACTCTTCCTTCTATACCGTATATGGTAAAGTTGCAATCTGAAGAATTGACAGGAGGCAGAGTATGGAAGAATGTGATGTTTGTTCTTTCTGAAATGGAGGGTTTATTGCAGAAGGAATTATTTCTTCAATGAAGAAAAGAGAAACTAGTTTGCTAGACAATGAGATCTTGCTCGATTCAATATATGTAGATCCGAAACCCTGAATTTTGTTGAATGACGAACAAATTAAAAGGGAAAGAAAGCCATCTATGAACTTTCATTAAGAATGAAATTATTCTCAGAACAATTGGAGAATTTGAATCAGGACAGTCAAACTGCAGACACTGCAATTGAGTCTCTACCTTCCTCTTCCAGTGATAAATTAGATTTTGAGAAATATTTTTGGATAATATTGAAAAGGCTAAGGTAAAACAAATGAAAATAAAGAATCAAGAGCCTTTAGATATAAAAATGAAAAAATACAAATAAGATTTCTAATAGAGAAATACGATTGTGCTTGCAAGACAACTCTTTTAGAACTTCTAAAAATCTATCCTGAAAAGTTAAAAGTAGCCCTAACAGTAACAGCTCTTCTCCTACTCAAGTTAGTGTAGAAAGACTCTTCTCAGCTCTGAAGTTTACCAAATCAGATCTATGGCCCTCCAACAAAGAAGATTTTGTCAAAGCTATACTGTTTCTTAGAAATAACTAATGCCAGTTTTCCCATTTTACAATAAATGCTAATTAGTATAAATAATTTGCTATGCCATGAATTTTTCTGTAGCATTTATTACTTCTTTTATATTAAAAAAATAAGCTGTAACCAATGCGTATATGTTTACATATTATATATATGAGGGAGTCAAGTTGGTCATTTTTCCTACCAACTCCAGAGCCCTGTTCAGATGGCTGATAGCAATCTTCATGTTGTTCATTTGCTCCCTTCCTATACTTTCATTCTGTAAAGATTATTCCACTATCAATGTTACAATATCAGGATTGGCAGCTGTGCAATAATATCAAAATCATAAAAAATAATCTTCATTTTTATTCTCAGATATGTTGATTACTTTCAGATAATTATCTATAGGTGGCAGTTGCCAAGAAACAATTTACTGTGTTCATATGTATGGCAATCTAGAATCGCTGAAGCCCCAGCAAGTCTGGATTTTAGAAATTTAATTTAAATCTAGTAAGTTCACGCATGATTATTGTATTGTTTATGTCAGATAGAAGAAGCTAAGTTCCTAACAGAATTTCGCCAGAATCGATGCAGCCACACAGTGTTGCAAAAATTAGGGACAGCAAAAGTTTTGTAATCTAGAAGCACTGGGCAGCAGAATTTAGAGGATGAAGAGATAGCACCAGGAGGCAAATGCCTAGTTCCAAACCTGTTCACCCCCCACGCAATAAAGCTCAAAAGTATGATCCTGGCCAACATGAATACAATGTTAATCAATGTATTGTTACTGCCCACAGCGTGATTCCCTAGCCAGCAGGTGTTTGAAAAAGATTTGCAAAAACTCAGTCCGGAAAAAATCCCATTTACAGTTTTCCCCCCTTTTTTTGCAATATTATATTCTTCATTACTAAATTTTATAAGGGAAATTTTATTACTATTTCTTTATTTAGCATTTTATTAATTTATTTTTGGCTCCCCCTGGTGGTCCAGAGGTTTATATATTAAATTATTCTCGATGCCAAAATTTAGGACTATTACATATTTCACATAATAATAAAAGTGGGAATTAAAAGTTATAAAAAGTAAATGTATAATATTGTTTGTAGATACTGAGAATCAATAAGTAGAAATAGGAATACTACTACTAATAATAATAAAAATACTTGTAAAAAATTTAAGACAATTTTGATAGAGAAACAGTGGCATGGCTATAGACAGACATGATTATGCAATGTGCAAGGTCCTGTGAGTTTTAAGGGGCTCATTACTTTTTGAATATTCAAAGAGTAAATAATAAATTAATAAATTTGTTGCCAAAGCCATTTGATATTTTACATGTTTAGAATTTTAAATTTTAGGAACAAACTATATTTTTAATTACGATAAAGATTTATACCTTCTTTTTTAATTAGAAATTGAATAGCAAATTGTTGTTCCCTCAGTACTTAACAACTTTACTCTTGCACATAGTAACTGTTATGTATACAAACGTACATGTGTGTGAAATCTATTAGTTTGATGAATAAATTTATTTTGAAAAAAATATCACACAAAGCAGGCTAGCTTTGTTTAAAAAACAACAATAAAAAACCTCACCTGTTAAAACAACATAGTATTTTTATTTTGTTTTAACAAAATTAAAATACTTATAACTAAAGTAAAAAGGATAAGACAACAAAAAGAACAGGAAAAAGAAAGAAAAAGAAACTTCATAAGACGGATTCTTTCACCCATAAGGTCACAACACAAACACACACACACAACAAACAAAAAACAAACCTTATTGTAAGTTCCACAATAAGTAAAACAAATAACATATAAAGTACCCAGCATACATTAATAATTATATAGTTAAAATATTACTGATTAATTAACTGTGATGAAAATGAAGAAAAACTAATAGGTCCATTTCCCAAAAACATTACACAAGGAATTAGGAATTTTAGTGCAATATATTATACATCCATGACAAACTACAGACAAGTGCCACGGCAATGGTTGCATTACTTTAAACTATTGGATACTGTACACTGCAAACCTTGTTGGTTGTTTTCTAACTTTGATAGAAGTTGGTCTTCAAGTATCAGATAGCAGAAAAATTTAATGGTAAGAATTAAAAATCAACAGTTTTTCGAAATCACATGGGTAAGCAAGCTCTGATATGAAGAATGAAAGGGGAGGCAGATTTGACTAATGATAAAGACCTCGAAGAATAATGCATCCAAATCTAGAGGTTTTATTCTTCACATTGAACACCACTTCCTTAATCCAATCAATGGATTAAGGAATCGTACAGGCATTCAAAGCATACTATGCCAGGCATGTTTAGCCATCTAAGCTCTAGATGAAGAAAAGCATAACCAACTAATGGCATTTTAGAAACAATTCTTTATAAGAAATTGCACAGAAAGGATTAAACTCCCATGGGAGCAAGTCATTTCAGACACAATGAATGCTTGCTGGCATCAATTCTAGCCAGAAGTTGTCAACAATTTTAAAGGATTTCCATCACTTGAAAAATCAAGCCAAGGAAAGTGTACAGGTTGGTAAAGCAATAAGGCAGCAAAGGATTTTCAGATATGAAAGGAGAAATAACAGAATTAGTCAGGAATAACGATAGGGACAAATAAAGAATTGAATGATCTTATAACACTAGCAGATGGTGAAAGTAGTGATAGTGAAGACGATAAAGAGTCTTTAACACAATTAAACCGTCTTTTTCACTTACTGCCACTGAGCAGGCAGCGGCATATAAAACAGACCTGAAACATATATTCTTTAGCACCAACAAAAGGCCACAAATGACTGCTCTGATTAGAAATTTCACAAATCCATTCATTATTGCGAATGTAACTCAATTAGTAATTTTTCTTCTTTTTAGTTACATTTATTAAGATTGTTTCTGTGTGGTTTTGTTCTTGATAAATTTTGTTTAAAGTAGTCTTGAATTGCTTAAAAACAATAAATAAAACTCAATCATTTGACTTTAATGGGTGTTTGTTCATGTTTAAGATAATACAAAATTTAGTACATAAATGTGTGTTAAATTTCATATTATACACTAAATCGACATACTAAATTTAATATATACATATTTTTAGTACTGCTCAATTCTTCAGGCCTTAATGTTTTAAATTGTTATTTTCTCATGAGTTGATTTCAAGCATTAAATATGAATAATTAAGATGCATTTTTCATAAAGTATATAAAATTTTTTTATCAGTATATCTTTACTAATTCAGTTTGCTTAATTCTTCAATCTAAAATTTCTAATTAAATATTTCTTAAAAATTTTTCCAGGACATCATTATCTTTTTTCTTCTAATTTTTTTAAAAAAAATCTTTTGTTATATGTATATTTAATAAGTTGGAAATATATATATATTAATAAGTTTGAAATAGTTGATGGCATAGTAGACACAGAGAAGAAACTTGCAAGCATAGGCAAATTCAATTATTTTTCTTTTTATTCATGGTTGACACACATTTTTAATCAATCCAATATAAATAAAATGGATGCAACAACACCTTGTTCTCAAAGAATGTACTTCATTGGTAACAATAAATTTGTAAAATATACTTTCTGAAGACAACAAGCAGTAACAAATTACAAGAGCACAGCAAAAAGGGCAAAGTTACCCATTCAGAAGAAAGTATCAGAGAGAAGAGGGTTTTGGTTCTAAAAAAAAGATGAATGGCTACACCTGCATGGTAGAGTTATGTAAGATCATATGTTGCGGATTAATTTTGAAATGATGCAGTTTAGATTAATGCATTATAAATAGTTCATATTTCTTGGACAAAAAGGATATCCAAATTAAACTGAAAAATAAAGGGGTTTTCCCAATTAAAATTAAAGTTTGCCTTCTTATTTTTATCTTATACTTAGACACACACACACACACACACATATATATATATAAAAGTCGAGAAATTTAAAATTAAGATGATATATGTTATTAAAGTAATACAGTATGCTGAGAAATTAAAGGGTAATCAAGAGACAATAATTAAGTTCAAATTAAATTATAAAAGGGATAATTTTTTGACATGAAATACTAAAATAAAAATTAAAACACAATTCAAAATGAAATAAAGACAATAAAATAAAACTAATGAAACATAATAAATATATATATTTTATCAGTTTTATTGAAATGAAATAAAAGAAAGTTAATAAAACATGATAAACTGACATATTTTTATACGAGTTTATCATGTTTTATTAAATTTATTTCTTTTAATTTCAACAAAATTGATAAAATATATATATTACATTTTATTAAATTGTCCTTGTTTTATCAATTTTGCCAAACTGTTTTGTTTCCTTTTGAATAGCTTTTGATTTAAATTCGATCTGAGTATCTCTTGTCGGAGAGTTGACCAACTTTTACGATTTAATTATCTTATAATAATAATAATAATAATAACAATAATAATATATATATAAAGCAAGGTGTAATTACAAAATTGAAAAACCAATTTGGTCTAGAAAAACATCTTGCGCAATATGCTGCAAAATAAGTAAAATAGAAATTGAGTAAGCTCGCCTAAAAGTTACCAGGAGCTGTTGCTCCAAAAAGTTCAACACGTTTTAAAAATTAATACATATGAAAATCAAACCATTAAACATGTAAAACATAAAAAACAGAATCAGATAAAAAAGTAAGCGGAAAAGGAAAAATGGTAAATTAGCCCAACTCGACTTCCAAACTGACTTTTTCAAGGGAATTTAATTTGTTTGAAACGTCAAATTAAGCTAACCCCATTACGCGTTTCGCCGCCGAACAGACAATTGAAACTTTTTCGCTACAAAAATTTTTTTTTTTTAGACAAAGTGTCTTGGAAAATTTTAAAGTCTTAATTCTGTTCCAATTTCCCCGACGCGGTCCGCACAAAATGACACATTAAGGGTTTAAAATATGTTAGAACTATTCCAAAACATCTTAAATCTAGACTAAAAAAAAATCAAAATCAAATTAAAAAAAAAAACAAAAATAATAGCGGTCTGCATTAGTCCTAAATATACAAAAACATACGGGCTGGGCCTGCAAGCTTAAAGGTTAACAATTTTCATATTTAGAAAACTGTAATGAAAAATTGTAATTAAAATAAAAGAAAATTAAGATGATAACCAACAAAGTGAGTCTTGCTAAGACCAAGAAAAATATATATATATATATGTGTGTGTAATATATTCAGAAGCAGGAATTTTGACGGCATAGAAGTGTTGATCCATAATGACTAGGAAAATGGGAGCCGAAGGCAGATTAAATCTTCAGTTTTATTTTTAGCTACACAAGTTGACACAATAAACGTGCCTGTTCCAAAAGGCTTACATTTTTGAAAACTTTAGTGCGAGTTTTAGGCTTACATTTTTGAAAACAGAGTGTAGCAAGAAAGCAGCAACAGACAGACAGTAGTGTAGCTAGGAGAACGTGTGGAAAGCAAGTGCGTAATGTTCAGGATGAAATCTTAAGTCAGACTTAGTTTTGGTTTTCAAAGCATTTTGATTGAACAGTTAATATTCCTGTAAAATTACTATTGGCTGGTTGAGGTTTAGTTCCATTTACATCATCATAATTATGTAAGAATCATATGACATAGAATAGTCTCGAAATGACGCAGTGCTGAGAGGGGTTACTATTTTTAGAATTGAGAAGGGAAATTTACGTTGCTAATTTAATCTTTTACATATTATTTTTCTTACATATATACTAGCAGCTATGTGGCCAGCCCTCATCTCGCTTTTAAATGTACCGGAAAAATGCCTAAAGGGAACACCAAACGTTAAATTTAAAAATTGCGTAGAATTTTACATAAAGGAAGCTAAGAACTTTGTTTCCTAAAAAAAATCATGCAAAACTTTTTACATAAATAAAACATAATATACAAAATTACAATGAAATAAGCAATAAATCTCATATTTTCAAGAGAAAACAGTCAGCAGTCCAGTATCCAAAGCAATGAATGAAAAACTGTTACCAAAGCCACATTTCTAAAACAATGAAACTATCATCAGAAAGCAATAACCAATCAAAATTGTGCTTTGTGAATGACATAATTCCAAATATACAAACCTCTTTGCCATTAGCTAATACACAGAGAGAGAGAGAAAAAAGGAAATTCTTTCTGTTGCACCTCCCGAGACATGGGTGCGGCAGAATAAGAAGATTGCAATGTGCGTGTCCAAAAATCAAAAAAAAAAAGCAGCATTTTATCTCATATTTTCAACAGCCAGCAGTCGAGCAATACAAAGCATTGAATGGAAAACTGTTGCCAAAATCACATTTCTAAAAGAATGAAACTATTCAAAATGATGTGATAAAATCAAAAAGATAAAATAAAAAAAGAAATCTGACTCAAAATTTGAAGGGAAAAAAAAAAAAAACCCGCTTCGAGGTTCACCGGCTCTTGTCTAGATGCACCTATATACCAAATTTTGCAGCCTTGGTCTATTAGCTTACGCACTAGCACGAATGAAAGACACACAGACTCTTCTTTTATGTAGATATATATATATATATTATATATATATATATTATTACATATGATGATTTAGAGAGCAAGTTGACAGAAACAATTAAGTTGCAGTTTTGGTGGGAAGGCAATGGCATTACACTGCATAATTACATAGCAGCAATCGGCAGTAGTCATCATGAAGATTAAATATCCATTTTTTTATTTTCAGGACATAAAGAATTCTTTTTAAGTACATTCAGCAGATATCAAGTAGCACAATAGGTGCAATCTGCATAAGACAGAGTGGGGCATATAATTCTGATTATAGGATACTATTCATCATACTGATATATATACAAGTAGTGCTTTACAATGTTTTGAATATGGAATTCTTATGAGCTAGAAATTCATTTTTATTTTTGTTTTCAGATCATCCGAAATATGTACATAGCATTTTTATCTGTTATGGAATTAATGAGGAAAAGTTAAAGGTACGAATGATTAATATATATCGTTTCCAGTTAAACAGACAAAATCTGATTTAAGCAACCTTCTCCTTCAAATGTTATCATTGATGTATCTTCCTAAAAACAAAAATTTATTAAAATTCTTTTGCAAAAAATTCGTATTCTTACATACAATTCATAATCACACATAACACTCTTAATAATACAAAAAATAAAAAGTATTTTAAACATTCAGAGGAAAAGACAGGGAGGGAAAAAATTATTCTTTAGCTGAGAAAAGTTTGAAGATAATTTTAATGAATTACACGTAAATAAATAGCATGAGATAAAATGAAATTTTGTCTAATGATGTAAATATTCAATCATGCCATAAAAAGATTTAACTTAAATAATTATTTATAGATTCAAAAACTTTTGTCTAATAGTATATAAATTTTTAATTAAAAACAATCATAATATACTTTAGATGCTTCAAGATTTAGCAGTGTTAGCTGTATGAAAAAAGTATTTGGAGGCACTAGAAACAATGAATGCGATACAAGACCGAATATAAATTCTATTTATGAAAGATACATGAATGAATGTGTTATGAATTTTACACTTCATGAAAATTATTTTTAGTACAAGCACACAGTTTTTAATGAAAATCAAAAAAAATTTTATGAAGGTATCCTTTTATTGACAAAAGATTTTAAATCAAGATCCAAAAATATTGCATACGACTCGCAGGTGAAAAGTAATAAAGAATAATTACTACATTATACTAATTTGACAAACCTTACTGTGACAAATATGCGAGTTTCTCTAATATTCTTGTGCCTTTTTGCTTATTTCTAAGAATTTATTTACTGTTAAATTTTAATTTGCATTTAAACTTCAGAATTTTTATATATCCAACAGCAGTAGGTAGAAAGGATCAAAATCTTTTTTTAACTATGTTTTGTAAGAATTAATGCTTATTTACAATTTATAATCATTTAAACTTCTTTAAGTAATATTGCTGCTGCTTCAATTAAATTATTTAAGTTGGAGACTTAAATATGCTACCAATATTAGTAATCATAAGCACACACAATATTTGGTAATATCACTTGCACTTGGTAAACACATATGTACAGACACTCATTACATAAGGAACAAATTACAGTCAACTCTGGAGTAACAGGTGTAATACCAGGGATAATATCCACAATCAACTCAAAATCACAATTAATCTAAGGGCAGTTAAAAAATCCAGAAAAGAGAAATAACACTTATTATAATTAAGAGAAAAACACTCTTAAATATTTAGTTTGATTTTAGCCCATTAATTTGGAGACTTCGCAAACAGCATGAAAGAATATTAGTTACAGTACAATGTGAATATATTTAAATTACATAATACTGTCAAAACAGTTCCTGTAAATGTATACAAAATAGTGAATTGTGAAATTCATACTTGAATCTTCTGCATTATCTTGGAACATCCAAAAAATTGTTCTCCTTCAAAAGTCATCATTGATCTGTCTTCCTAAAAACAAAAACTTTTTAAAATCTTTATGCAAAAAATTCTTATTCTTACAAAGAATTTATAATCACACATAACACTCATGAAGATAATACGAATTTCAATAATAGGTAAAAGAAGAGAGAGAAATGGCTGGCTGAAAAGGGAGACATAGGAATAGAAACACTGCAGTCTCAGTGTTAGATTCATTATTCATCATTTTACTGATGTCAGAATCTTTTGTCACAACTCTAAGAATGCCAAGTTCTATTTTTTCAGTCAAATTTAAATATTTTTGTTAATATGACTGTCATATACTGGGAAGGTAGGGTGAATTAACAATCAACTAAACTTATACAACTATATTAAATATAAAGAACTCGCTTCCTGTATAAGAAATGATTGGCATATTTTCAACAAAATGATCAATTCATCTATTTTTCCTTATTCAAGATTGGGTAAATTCAGTATTTATGAGGATTACTTAGAGCTTTCTGCATGCGCCCAACTTCAGTGCAATACGTCAATCTGATAGAACTCGCATTAACTGTTAATATGGTGGTGGTATTTGTACTTCTTTAGTAGTCTTTACATGGTCATAATGAACAGTTCTAAGCAGCTACTAGCTAATAAAGAATCACATGTGAAATATAGTTATGCTTGGTATTGGCACTACATAAAAAATAATAAAGAGCAAGTACGTTTATTATTTTATTTTCTAGTAATAATTAAAATAAAATAGCACGCTGAACAAGCATTAATTTAGAAGTCAAGCATTTACAAATTTTCACAGGACTAGTTTCGATGGTTTTACCGAACCACTCCGCACTGCACAGCACAAGAATGAGGAAGATAGGATGATGAGATAAGAAAGACGGGGAACAGGATTTAAATCGACTGCACCACTTTAAGAAACAAGAACGAACAGAACTACCTTAAGGCGAGGCAAAAGAATGGAATTATGGGGGTTAAGATAACAAAAAAATTTTGGAAGGTGAATGCCTCGAAAAGCTATCACCAATAAAGATGTTTTTAATATTTTGGCAGCAGAAAAATTGAAAGTGTGATTTTCAGACCAACAATGCTAGGCAACAGGGGATTTTTGTGTTTCCTTTTTCCTAACATACGCCTCACGTTCTTTAATGCGAAATTTTAAGGCTTAGTTTGACCAATGTAAATCAAACCAAACTGGCAAGGAATCCTGTAAATACCCCAGAAATTCATATATGGAACTCGGAGTTTTATTGATAGGAAAATAAATGACCTAAAAGTTAAATTTCTGTAAAATAAGTGCAATTTTATAGTGATAAGTTAAAGATTATTTTCATCATTCCTTAAATTTGGGTAATTGCTTCAACACAATATAATGTGTGTGTGTATATATATCTAAAGAATATTTGTACATTAAGCACATATAATTTAACATACCCCTTTCCCACATTTTCCAAATGTGAATCTTTTCCATGTAGCTTTTGATTTCGATATCAACTTTTCTTTCCATTTTCCTTCCATCCATGCCTTTAATTTCTAACATTTTTGATGCTGAAGAGGGATGATATGAATATTAAGTCATGTTGAGAACCTACATAATATATGCGTCTAATAACCAAAATTGCTGCATATGCGATTCAAACAACTGAATATATGTTGTTGCTGAAATATTAATAAAACATGTCATGAAATCACAGTTTTGTTTCAGAGATAACCCCTCCCCCCAAAAAAAAGACTTCAGGAATTTAAAAACCTTTAATTATAGTAATAATTGTGATGTTTAATAATTAACATTGGATAAGAACTGAATATGTGTTGAACTGTTAATATTACAAATACTGGATTAATGCATGCCTTATTTAAATATTTTGAATGACTTTGTTCTAAGCCATTTAAATAGTCAAAAATTGCTATTTCATACATTAGTGATTGATATTATATGTATGCTTGGTAAATGTATTCTAGGTGCATCCAAAAATCTTAGTGTTAATAGTGTACGGCAGTATCATATATGCCATAACATGTGTTAAATAGCTAATCATGTGCTAAAAGACTAAAAAGTATAAGTAACCTTATAGTTTGAAACCAATGTCTAATAAAAACAGTTATAGCAACTGCCTTAGCATCTGCTTTGCCTACATTTAGTGGGCAGATTTCTGTAAATGTGCATTTCTTCATAGCGTACCCAGATTAGAACAATGGTCAAATGAAAAGAAAATAAGGTACTTTTCTATTTTGCCAGCACAGGCGATAAAGTCACCAAAAATGATACTATCAATGCCAAATGGAATGTCATAGCTGGTAACCTTTTACCAGGGTTGCCACTTAAAGAGGAGAATGAAATTGCCTGACTTTTCTAGGTGTGTTTTGAGAAAATTCCAGTCTATC